TAGAGGAGACAGTCCTCATTGATAATGCATGCATTAGGATTGGTTGCATTAGCATTGAAAGATGTACTGGTATCATATGTTCCAATCCACAGTAGACCATTGTGTGTAATGTTTAGACTAGTTATATTACATGTCACATTCTCTCTTGAAACACTTTGACTGCAAGTACAGATAGATCTACCTTGTAAGCTATCTACACTAAAACCAATGGGACATTCATTAATAATGTAATCCCAATAAATGGGATAGGATGTTGCAATAGAAAATAGCATGGTATGTATTACATGACTGGGAGCATGGTTTGGTCTGTATTCAACCAGTGAACAATTAGTATTAGGCTTAGGTCTAGCATATACATAATTGACTATATGAGCACTGTCTGAAGTGAGCCCATCACGTATTTCCAATAAACCATCAGTGACATTTAGTGATCCAAAGTAATCATAACCAAGCAAAACTATATGAAATTTTAGTGCTTGACCTGGATAAATCTGTTTGTCACTTGCATTTTTTAAATTCGTAAAATTGCAGAACTGAATTTTGCATACATCACCTGTTGAACTAATGTTTGGATTTGTCAAGTTGAACTGATTGTTTCCATGATTACTGGTATATCCATATATATCGTCACCAAATATTTCAGCACTATTATTTATTAATGTAAGAGGTATATTTGATGCCTCTAATGTTATGCCACTATTTGTTGTCTCTTCAAGATAGATCCCTCCACCTTTATAAGAAGCATGATTACCAATAAACTCCAAGTTAGCTAATGATGTTAGTATCAATTGTGATGAGTCATTTATTGCTAATCCTCCTCCAACTACTCCAGCATTGTTTTTAAATGTTAATTTATTCTCAATTGTTACTATTGATGCTTTAAGTGTCAATCCTGTTGAGGTGCCATTAGCAACAGTAACATTACTGAGACTAATAGAATTACTGTTCAATATCGAATTTACTCCATTTCCAATAAACTCAGTATCTGTTATATTGATTTGGACTAATGTCAAGAATTTTTTATCAATGAATAAGCCTGTACTTGTGCTGTTAGATATCAAACATGACTTGATGATAATATGAATAAAGTGATTGCTAAGTGTTCTAGGTAAGTGTGCATCTTTTAATATTCTAATTCCATACCAATTATCACGAAATTTACTGTCCTCAATTACAAAAGTAGAAACTAATTGGATTCCAGGAAGTTTGCACTCAACTGATTTTAGGTTTTCACTAAATTCAATAGTAAAGGGGTAGGAACTATAAAGTAGTGATTGAAATGATGCATTCTTAATATAAAAAGAAAAAAGGCTATCACCCAAAATAAATCTAGAGTTACTATAAAGTATATTATAATAATTATGAAAGATGGCTGACAGATTGTATGAAGCACCATGATGAATAGATAATGTTATTCCACTGTCATGAAATAGTGTATTAGTCAGTATTAGTGAGTAATGAGGTAGTTCAGCGCTACATACTGCAAGAGGCTCATACGTAATACCTATACCACGATGAATGAAAACTGATGATGATACATTAATATCAAAAGCATTGTTTAATATTATAGGAAACCATGTTTTAGCAGCTTCTGTTACATTAAATAAAGAGTTAGTTATTGAAATATTGTTGGATGATTTAGCAATGACTCCAAAATTATAAACTGACATGTTAGAAATAATGACATGACTGCTGTTATAGATGAGAAACCTTTCATTACTCCTACTACCAATAAGACAAGCCTGATCCAGTCCATGCAGAGTAACATTCCTTACTGCAGTCATGTTGACATCATCATTAATGTCACTGGTTCCAATGAAGTAGAAGATGCTGTTATTGTATTGAGACATATCCCCAGCATACACTGATAAAGGATGACAAGGATTATGAGTAACTGAACTGCAGTCATCAGACACATAATACTGACCAGAGGAGACACTGCAGGAGCTACAGAAAAATAAGACAACAACCACTAACGGGAGAGACATACTTCTGCTTTTACTAACAGTGATAGTATACTTACTGATGAAATGTTAGCTCTCTTATATATAGGCAGCTCAAACTCTCCAAATATGGAAATCTATAATTACACTGTAGAGTAGTCATAGGACTTACAGGTATTGGCTAAAATCATTTTGTAGGTGAAATTTAATGTAACTAATCTCTTTAAAGTCAGTTAACTTGCAATATATATAGTTGTCATTTTAAATAATTTCATGTACGTATTACTAATGCTAAAGTGTTCCTGTCTTCTAGTTATTTCTCTTCTCTTCTGGGCCTAATTGCAGGGGCATTGTCAAGTATCGGCCATAACTAATTTACTACTTGACTTGTGTATTGAGATGTTTCAGTTGGATCTGTTGTTAGGTGAATCATAGATACTGAGTAAATTTACTATCTTATGGGTGAACTGATGATGCAATAGCACTTAATTACTACAGATTAACTTGTTACAAGGGAGGGAGGACATAATTATGTGTATGAAAACATTACTCCCAATTTGTACATGTACAAATCTAATGATTCTAGAAAACTGCCCCACACAAGCCACATTCATTGTACACAGCCACCTAATTAAACTATACGCATCTGCTCTATATCGTTTTACGTTTTACTTAAAATTTTTAGGTTTGTACTTTAATTGTCCATGGTTCATGTAGACAGGTGGGAATGCTCTACAACTATTCCGATTTGTAGCTGTACAAATCGGAATTCTAGGAAGATGTTAAAAAAGCTCAAGAGTTAACTGTGCACAACAAAATAATAATGAACACACTAACAATCCATGTAATGAATAATTAATCTACTAATTAATACTAACACTAATAATAATAATAATAATAATAATAATGAATACTCTTAATCATAATATAGATAATTGCTAACAGCCTACAAGAAGGCGCTACACTGCACAATTGTGAACGGATTCTTTATGGCTTCACTTCCTGATACGTCACTGATAAAACAATATTCATTGTCAGTGACTTATGAATATAATTAAAATCATTCAAAATTTGAACCACGTGTAGCTGATAATTAGGCATTTTCTAAAAAACATAGTAACTTTGAGGGGAAATTTACCTGAATAAAATAAGACCCAGCAACTGAGGAGATTCACAATGTATTAAGGAAAGGTAAGTACAGCACCAGACCCTTTGGCAAAAGCCCAGCACCCCTATGAATGATTTGCACAAAAATCAAAGTTGCTTCATGGCTAAAAAGTGGAAATGATGGCTGTGCAAGTAGAAGTGTATCTTCTAAACTGAAGCACAAATGAAGCCCATTCTTGGTAATAGATCTAGCAAAGAGAGGAGTTGGTTCTATCTGTGCATGGCAAAATAAGGAGAACAGCTCTTGTAAATCAAGGATTTTAGGTCACCTAATTATGACCAAGTTTATGGCACTTTTTCTACAGCTATATCCCCTACGCATGTTTTGCAAGGGGCTGGTTACCAGACTAGTCTACATGTGACATGTGTAGACATGTGACATGTTTCTTTTAATCATTGTGTACATGTACATGCACATACATGGTAGGATCATTAATTCCTAGTACATGCACATGATATGGATACACTGTATACAAGCATGATCATGTAGATCATGTAGATCATGTACATGTACATGGTATGATCATTAATTTCTAGTACATGTACATGTACATGTTCTTACTTCCATCAGGAGTATCTCAGTGTTGAGAAGAGTATGGAATTCTTGAAACTTTTCTATCGTCAGTTTCTGGTCGAGTTTCTTACCAAGAAATGCACTGCTAATGCTCCACCCACAGACGAAACCACATTACCTAATATGGACAACAATCATTACAAACTCATTCACAATAGCATTGTATTTCAGGTTACTTTCATTGGATCAAACTTTAATTTTTGAGGGGGCAAACTTTGTGGATTATATTGTCCTTCTGTTAAAGGATTATGCCCATCTACTCCATGTGGCTTAATTAATGTTTATTTTTGGAGCTTAAAAAACAAAAAAATGAAAATTTGGAAGCCTGGTATACAGTACAAATTACACAACGTACGTACCATTGATGACGTGGTCTCTGTGTCTCACTCCCATTGCTGTGGAGCCGAGGAGAACTAACTGAACCGCTTAAAACTTATCAAACTCAACTTCTCCATCACCATTGAGATCAAACATCTTAAAGGGTAGCTCAAAGTGTTTCATTGGAGCTAAAACAAGAGAAAGAGAGAGTGAGAGAGGAAGGGAGGGAGAGAAAGAGAGAGAGGGGGAGGGAGGGAGGGAGATGATATCATATGTATACATCTATATACAGGGGCGTAGCTGAGGTAGGGCCTGAGGGGGCCTGGGCCCTACCATCAAAGTGGCCTTATAATTATATTCATAACCCAAAAGGTTATATTTATTGTTCTTACAATAACAAAAGGGGATGTCTGATAACCACAGCTCTTTTAAAGCTATATACAATGATAATTTCACTCTGATTTTGCTCAGCTTGCAGGAAAATGCCTCCATTTTGTTACGTAAAAAGGGTGTGGCCAAAATCGCGGCGCGCTTCGCGCGCCATTTTGTTTTCTTCCCCTACCGTCACCCAAGGTCCAGCTACGCCCCTGTCTATATATACCTATGTGTATGTGACTCACCATGCAGTGGCGGATCTGGGCCCGGGCCTAGACGGGCCATGGCCCGGGCATCAGAAGTCAGTAATGAGATTCATTAGATGCAATGTAAACAATTCCCTGCCTCAAGTTTTGATAAAGCAAACCACAAGCCACACCAGAGTACTTACAAGTGCTTGAAGAGCATTATTAGCACAGCATAGATGAGGAAATTGTTGAAACCAATCATAAAAATGGCCAAAAGATGCATAACCATAAAATAACTGGTTGAAAAGTGGACACACCCACTTTCTGGCCCTACCATTAACTTGCACCCAGATCCGCCACTGTGACTCACTGGCTAATATTAGTAACGCGGTAGCGTTACTAAGTAGGATTCACCCCAAAACAATATCGGCTGCCACGACTTTTGCAGCCTTGCTATACCGGGGAAACGAGCTCCTATGCTTACCAGACTTCTTAGAGGACCTCATCTTGACCAGAGGACTCCATTAGTACCACTAGCGTGGCTCTAAGCCTTTTCTAAGAGGAGAGTAAAAAATCGGCAAAACGGCTGTTTTGTTCAGCCACCTTTTTTCATCTTAGTCATCATTTCTTCCTGTCAATCCAGTTGTTGGTGTGTATCTCAACCTTGGCTGGTGCTACAAGGATAATTCTTACACCATTCAACTCCAACAGTCTATGCGCAGGTCCATGTCCCATCAGATCATTATCCAAGAAAGGAAGAAGTGATACTATGATTGCTGGATCGTACCATCTTAGCTGCATGTCATAGAAGACCTCAAGAAGCAGCTTGATGATAAGAACACTCGAATTCAAGAATTAACTGCTACATCCAATCAGACTCAGAGTTCTGACCGGACTACTGCCTCGGCCTCCATTGCTCCTACTGAGGACTTACCTCATGACAACGGGCCAACTCAACGAGACCCTACTAATCCAACTCTTAATATAAACAATCATGAAAGTTCAGGACACCACACTCCAAGGAACACTACTGACAGAAAGCAGAATCTGGTTTTCTTTGGTATTCGTGAATCTCCTTCTGGTACCTCCTTTCAGGAAAGGATGGAGCATGACTACAATGCGGTATTTGCCATTATAGATCCCATGATTGACTCTGGTCATCTTCACTCATCTATTCGTGTCTGCTCTCGTCTTGGCAAATATAACGCTTCCTCTCAACGTCCTCGTCCTATACTGGTGAGGTTTAACTCTCTCTCCACTATCAAAACTATCTTCCGTAACATTCAACGCCTCTCTACTAGCTCAGGTTCTAATGTCTCTATTAGACGTGACTTGTCTAAAGAGGAGCGGCGACATAATTCAATACTACTCAAGGAACGTCATCGTCTTGTAACAGAATGTGGAATCACAAAGAGCAACATTAAGTTTCGTGGCAATGCTCTCTACATCAATGGTAGTCTACATGGGAAGGCAGGTGTTGCTGGCTTCATTGCGTCCAGCCCTCATAACTTATCAGCTACCTCCCCTCCTTCTCATGACTCTCCTTCATCTACTTCCCCCCCTAATTCCCCGGATCCTAATTTGCCCAGAGCTGGGAGTAACCCCTCCTCTTCCGATTGACTATCTTTGTCATATCTCAATGCCAGAAGTTTGACTAATAAGTTTCAACATTTCCAATCTTACGTTTACTCTTCTCTACCCTCAGTTATAGCGGTCACTGAAACATGGCTTTCTCCCTCTTTTTATGACAAAGAGGTCTTGCCCTCTGGTTACTCCGTGTTCCGCTCAGATCGTCTTTCTAGGGGTGGTGGTGTACTCTTAGCAGTTGCATCGCACATCCCTGCTGCCCTCATTTATTCTCAATCTGACCCTGATATTCTGGCTATAAAACTTCAAATCCACTCTCCTGTTATTTTGTGTGTTGTTTACATCCCCCCACAATCCTCTCACCTTTCCTACTCTTCGCTTCTATCTTACCTTCATTCCTTATTCTCTTCCTCTCTCCCTGTGGTCGTCCTTGGAGACTTCAACTGTCCAGACATAGATTGGTCATCTCTATCTGCCTCTTCAAATTTCTCGGCTCTTTTATGTGAGTTGGTTTATGACTATAATCTTTCTCAATGTATTACCCAACCTACTCATATTAAGGGCAATACCTTGGATCTCATTCTAACAAACTATGAAGACAACATTTCTAATGTCTCAGTTCTTGAGTCTCCTTGGGCCACCTCAGATCATTATTTAATATCTTTTTTCTTGTCAGCTGGTCGTGTTACTAAATCTCACTCCACGCCTTCATCCTCCAGGAATTACTCTGATGTAGATTACAGTGGTATGGATGACTTCTTACTGGACTGGGATTTTAATCCATGTTACTCCTCCCAAGACGTTGAATTCATCTGGAGTCATATAAAGTCAGCTATACTAACTGCTATTGATAAGTTTGTCCCTACTGTTACTATTACTAAGAGGCACTCTCATCTACCCCGATGGTTCGATGGCTCTCTCCGACATGACCTGAAACGAGTAAGAACTATGCGAAGGAAGTGTGTCTCCAGACCTACCCCTGCTAATTTGGAGTCTTTGTCCCAGATGGATGCTCATCTCAAGGATTCTATTGCAGAAGCGGAGTCTAATTATGTGCTATCTCTAATTAATCAATCGGCCATGGACAAATCTAACGCCCTTATTTATGCTCATATAAGATCCATCATTAAGCAGTCTGTCATACCTCCTGTGGTCTCTCTGGGTCCTCAGTCTGCTTCTTCCTATAAAGAACAAGCTGACCTATTTAATAATTACTTTTTCTCTGTATACTCCCCCTGTTTCTCCTTTCCCTCTCTTGACTCTCTTTTCTCTCTTCCTATGCAGGTACATCATGACTGTGGTCTGGATGCTATCATTTTCTCCCCGTCTGATGTTTTCAAAGCTCTCACTAATTTGGATCCTACTAAAGCTATGGGTGCAGATGGTATTGGACCTCGAGTTCTCAAGATGTGTGCTACTGCTCTTTGTGAACCTCTGTGCCACCTCTTTTGTACTTCAGTTGCTAATTCATGCATCCCATCTGAGTGGAAAGTTCACTGTGTGACTCCAATTCACAAGTCAGGCGATAAATCTGTTGTATCAAATTATAGACCTATATCTCTCCTTTCATGTGTCTCTAAAGTCCTAGAGAGGCTAATTTATGACAACATCATTGACTATGTTTCACCTTTTGTATCTACCAGCCAATTTGGATTCTCTCGTGGAAGGTCTACTCTACAACAGCTTCTCATCTTCCTGTCTGACATTTTTCACAACATTGATAACAAGTTACAGACCGATGCTATCTATCTCGATCTGCGCAAAGCTTTTGACAGTGTTCCCCATGATAAATTGTTAGTTAAGCTGTATTCTATTGGGATCACTGGTGAGCTATGGGAATGGTTTAAGAGCTATCTCTCCTCCAGGACTCAGTGCGTATCTATTAATGGTACCCTCTCTAGTACTCTTCCTGTTACTTCGGGTGTCCCTCAAGGAAGTATCCTGGGCCCCCTGTTGTTTCTAATCTTCATTAATGACATCCCCTCCTTGGTTCAGCACATCTCAGTCCTGTTATATGCCGACGACACTAAGTGCTACCATCCTATCAGCCATATCTCAGACTCCCTCCATCTTCAAGCAGATCTGGATTCACTGGCCCAGTGGAGTGAGGATAACATAGCATTCAACAATACCAAGTCATTCCTTATTCGTTTCTCTCTTCACCCCTCCCCTCTTTCCACTTCTTACTGTATTGATGGTCAACCCCTCGAAGTAAAGAACACCTGTCGTGACCTAGGCGTTCTTCTAACTCACAACCTCTCCTGGTCTGACCACATCCATTCCATTGTAGCCAAAGCTTACAAGATGCTGGGTCTACTCCATCGCTCATTTAAGTCCACATCAACATCCATCCGTCGAAAGCT